CAACTGGGCCTAGGCCTAGGCTGTTAAGTTAGCGATGAATAGCAGGGCAGTGCAGTATTTTGTTACAATTAACGTAACCACAGAAACATTTATTGTATTCTTATTGTCTTTATCTATCAATTTAGCTTGTCTTGTGTTTAGGTAAACTAATTATTTTGTTACAATTTGTAAACTGTTGAAATAATAGTGGTGGTCGGGAGCCTGTAAATCCTGGTCGGAAATGTTGAGTGCTGGACGGGCCTGTCCACCGCCGACCAGCATGGTGACATCCCTGATTGCAAGTAATTTGAATATAATTTTAGCTTGTTCTTTTTCTTACAGATTCAGAAGTGAAAAGTCAAGTACATATTTGTATTTATCAATTTCTGAATTATTCATAATAAAGGCCTAGGAATGTTGTTACGATATGATTTAATTTGTTAAATCAAGTATACTTTTATATCAGAATATTAAAATATATGTATTTGTACATTCCATTTAAACTAATATTTTACAATTCATGTAAATATTTTTTTTTTTACAAATATGATCATCAGATTGATGACTCGAAGTTAATGGTGACATGAAGTAGGTGAACGCACTTGAACACCTTCACTACCACTGCCATGACCTGCTAAAAATAGCTAGTCATCTATATTTAGCATCTGACCTTCTTCTGTCTTTGCATTGTATATGCGTTCACATTCCTGAAGGCGGCATATGAAGAATATGCCATCTCACCCTCATGACCACCGTGGAACCTTGGTTGTGGGAAAGTTTCTTTTCGATTTTATGGTTAGTTACCAGGCAACTAGTACAGGAGGTCTCAAAGTAGTGAATTTTTCTGGCTTTAGAAGGAAGTCTGCCCCGAAGACCAAAACCGTGGAATGGCTATTAACATGTACTGTAATTTAAATTATATATTAAAACTGCATTTTACTATGTATTTTATAAACAAGAGTACCATGGGAATCTAGTTTGTGGGAAATTAAATTCTAGCCCAACTATAGAATATATCTAGAGTCATTTTGTCGGGCTTATGAATATAAAAGAAGCCTGAAATGGGCCATTATAAATATATTGAAAATTTTATATGGAAAAAAAAGTATGAAAATACTACATATATATTTTCTTCATTTTCGTTCATCATATTCATTAGGTTCCTTTATCAAATTATAAACATGATCAGAACATTCAAGATAAATGGAAACGTAGCAGACAAGAAAACAAATGTATGAAAAACTAATCTATTGACTATATTTATTTCATAAATCTCCATTCAATTTATGCATTAATAAAATATATATCGCAAAAAACGTTAAAGAGAAACTTGTCTCAAAACCAAGTCGACTTTGTAACATTTTCGTTGTTTCTGTAAAAAAAGAAAAATAACAAGTGATACACGTAATATTAATAATCATTAACTATAATATTATAGTACAGTAATACCAATAGTTGTTAGTCAATTAATGTTTTATGCAAGTTTTGTGTTTATAAAAATACTATACTGCTTATCTCCCTTGTTCCAAATTTGCAGTCGCTCCGTCGACGCGCCATACGCCGCAACCGAAATGCATAATGCGACCGAAATGAAGGTGTGACCGAAATGATTGGATATCGCAGGATAAAGGATGCGTGTACTTACACTGTGGAGGGTGGAAAGTGATACAATTACTGTATGTGTCAGTCAGCCTTTGCTAGGCTAGGCCCAGGCCTACTGTTGTCCTAAAAAAAAACCAATATTTTATTAATTTTTTATAATAATTACTGAATACATTAAAAAAAAATATGTCCAGCCATTAGGTTGGGAAGGGTAAGAAGGGAAGGTGATTAGTGATGGGGAGAAATTAACTTTCATATTATAATACTGCCAAGACTAGGTCTGGGCCTAATAATTTATGAAATTTTATATGAATTCCAGAAGGTGAAAGACAGTTGGGCCCACAAGGCGATCAGGTCCAAGATGATCAGGCCCAGGATGATCGGGTCCATTTCCACACGATCAGGCCCACACCAAGATGATCGGGCCCACCTAGTGTAGACTATCGGGCCCACTTTAATGCAGATTCATTTTTGCGTTCTAAATTAATTTAACATACAGATAACATCAAAATCATCATAGGCCTATATTTATTTATTTTAGTATATCAAACATCAACAAGTACAATTAACAGTCATGGACTATGCCTACAGTCTGACGAGCGGGCCTACAAGACGATCAGTCCCAGGACGATTTGGCCTATTTCCAGACTATCTGGCCCGTTTTCAGGATGATCAGGCCCACTTTCAGACTGGCCCAATCGTCCCGAAAATGGTCCTTATTGTCTAATTCTTTCCAGACTGTATAGTAAGGCCTGAGAGGGGAATATATCCTCCGCGCACAAGTTTGGCCTAGAAATCCGTCCACACATTTTTGGAAAATAAGGGCTGATGTCCGCCCAGATTTCACCAAATATTAGGCTTTGGCCTTAGGGCAAATAGAAAAGGCAGGTGCTTAAGTCTCCCCCCCCCCCCACCAGACAGTCAAGCCTGTTGGGCAGTCAGAGTGAAAAAGATATAAAAATAGGCCCACGCCAAGCCAACAAATGTCTGTCACAGTCTGAGAGCGTCATTTCTGGCCATGAGATGTTCCTATCCTTAAAAAATCCCATTTGGGAGGGGGAACCCCCCTCTTAACCCTTCCCACAGCTCAGGCCTACAAGCTCAAGTCCCCCTGTCAGACAGCTCAGCTCCCCCTCCCCCCGCCGAAAATATATCCTACAGCCGCCACTGCCCCTAGACCACCCCAAATTTTCAGGTGCGTGCCAAATTAAATTGTTGGCAGAAATGTGTAAGATTGCTGTACACAATTTGCTAATTGTAATTTAAGTATCATTCTTTTTACAGAAACTGCTCACAACAGAAAATGAATCCAGTATACTATCCAAAACGTAAGTAATTGGCTTAGATTAAGATTCCAATTTTGAGTTTTTGTGCAATATACTGTAGGAGAATCCAGGCCTGATTTTTGATGCGCTCTCTTCACCCCCCACCCCCTTTCCCGCACCATGGACCAGGCAACAGGCCTACACTAAAAAAAATATATTAATGTATGTTAATAGCACTGAATGCTGTACCTACTCTACCGTCTCACAGATTGACAAGGTTACAGTATCCTACAGTAGCCCTGATCAGGTTCTACTAAAACGTAACTGTAATTTATGAAAACAAAAGTTCATTAGACCGAAGAGCTACACACTGAAAGTGTTTTCCCTCATTCTGTTGTGAAAAGGTAGGAATCCCCGACATTTAAATTGAAAAACGAAGATGGCTAAATAAGAAGAGAAAGAAAAAAAGATCAGTCTGTATTATTGTAGTCTCCCTGATGAGGGCCCTGGCCTCCCCTCTGGAGCCACCCTTGTCAGTTGCTCCAAGCTTTATTATTGTACAACTTTCTGTACATTGATTAGCTTTAGCCTTGTTTAGGGTTTGATACCATTAGAATTGGATTGTCAAAGTACAGAGTACTAGTGTCAAAATTAAATTGCTGACTGAGTAACAAAAGTAAACAGTCTTAGATCTGTCAGGATGGCAGTAAGACCTACTGTATGTATACTATACAATATTTTCTATAGAGAGTAGTTGAAAATTGAGCCGACATGTAAATGATATTAAAGACATGTCACTTAATTCTGCTATACAGCATAATCTGCTTTTAGACCACAGGTGGGCAAGTGCAGTCCGACAGTGATTTTTTTGCGGCCCGCGAAAATGAATTAAAAACCCTATATGTGCGGCCCGCCAAATATCTTTGGCTAGAAAACACCTTGTTTTTTATGGCTTGACACCAACAATCTCTAAAAAGTAGTATTTAAACTGAGATTAAAGTGGTGTAAAAGCAGTGCATGAAGCTTTTTGGAAGCACAAATGGAAATACTGTATCAAAGTTTGGTGTGGCCCTCTGGGTTAATTCAAAAATTCACTTTGGCCCACTCCTGTTTTAGATTCTATATCCAATTTCTTGGTTTATTTCATTATACAACTAGGCCTTAAAAGGGTGAAGTAAATATCGTAATTGTTGCAATTGGTTAGATATTTTTACCATAATTATTTTCAGACCCAGTTGGTTCATAGTATCAAACATAAATGACATTAAACATAATAATAAGTAGTATATAATAGAACAAGTATTAAGTGTAAGTATTAAGAAGAACATGCTGAATTTGAAAATAAATCAATGTCATGCTAAATATAACTTCTAATACTTAGCGTACTGTGCAGTTTAATTCCAATCGCTGCCACTCCTTGTATTTCAGCTGGAGGGTGAAACACAAGTTACAATAGCGCACTGTCTTTCGGACGCAACGTTTAAGCCGTTGGTCCTGTGTGCATTGATGGCCCATGTGCACGTTAATGAAAGCAGTACACTCTTCGGGAAAGAGTAAGGGATTGTCTCCTGGTGTACTGCCCAATCACCACCAGAAGGACCCCACTGGAAATAAGTCTTCTAGACTTTCGTGGGCTATCCTTGGTGTTTACACCAAATCAATCCAATCCAATCCAAGATTATCAATTTTTTGTCTAAATTGGTGGTTGTTATAATTACAAAATTGTTCTAAGCATTTATTAAACTGCAACATTAAACCTGTTGTAACTTTAACTGTTTATTTTTTATTTAGAATACTTGTAGTTAATTAGCTAATTAATGTAAGAAACTACTTGACCCAGTAACTGTTTTTTCAAGATTTAATTTAAGGTGTTTATTATTTCTTTATTTTAATTAACCTTGAATTTTTTGGTCATATCAACAACAAAAAGAATGAATGAAGTACTGTATCAAGATATATAATTTGTTTTTATCTCTCTCTCTCTCAGAGAGAGAGATAAAAACAAATTTTCATAAATAACCTTTTTTTTAAAGATATAATACAATTTGCAGATACAGTACCATAACATTAGTAATACAATACTTTATACTTGCAGTTAATAATTGTTAATACAATTGTGCATACTATAACGTACAAACACTGATTTATTGGAGCCTGATATTCACTACATTGCTCATTAATTATCTCTCAGCCAGAGAAACTTGTTTTAATCATGGAGCTGTGTTCTAATAATATCTACAAATCTGCAATTTCTTTTTTTCTGGATTCAGCACCACAAATTGCATTATGGCACACTCTCAGCATTATGGAGAAGACAAATCAATATCATGAAATTCAGTATACTGTAAAATCAATAACGCTCCCATCGATTGGTCACTTGATTTCCCTATCTAAGTCAACTGTAAAGAACACACTCATTGATTGGTCACTTGATTTCCCTACTTACTGTCATCTGGAAATTCATTGGTGATTTATTTTAAATGGTATTGAAATGACAATTGTGCATGATCACTGTACGGTACATTCACTATTCTGTAAACATCCTAACACTGTACCTCTAACTAGAGGACAGTAGCTGTAGTCGACGAATACATTAGCCTCATTTGTATAACATTGACATGCCCATGTACATGTAAATACTGTATCCCCAAACTACATTTCATGCCAATGATTGGTTGGAAGGTATGCACCTTATGAAACATATTGAACACAATTAGTCACTAACTTGTAGAGTAGATTCTACAATTTAAATAAACCCTCTCAAATAATTTAGCTTTTCAGAAAGTCATCTGGGATAAATTCCCCCTCCCCCCAGAAATGATTGAGAATAAAACTAATGGAAGCAACACAATTTTTAGCACTATTATCACCAATATTTTACTAATTACTTCCGTACAGTACAGGTTAGCTAACATGAGATTTAATGGAATACACAATTTTCGACAATAACTTTTTTTTAGCTCTACATTTGCAGTTAGATGAAGGGATGATGATTTTAGTATATGTTTACACCCAAAAATAAACACCTCCCTCAAATGCCTCTTCTCTTGAGTGCACTTCCCTTTATAACCTGCTGAATAATACATGCCCTGGAGTGTTTATTTGAACACTCTATGTAAATGTCAACGTCTAAACCAAGATGCATTATTTTCTTGATGCTATACAGTAGTAGTTCATTTCAAGTTTTAGTCTCAGCTAATGCATTGTTATTATGTTTATTGAATATGCATGTTTGTAAAATATTTCAAGCTTGTAAAATTATGTCTGATTATGGAAATTCGAATCTGAATGAGACTAGTAACTATGTTGTTATTCCAATTTTCACTGGACACAATTGCTGTACAGAATGAATTAATAAAGTCAATTTTACCGTACTGCCAGATTTTCATGGTTATTGGAATCTCAGGATATTTGCATTTTAATTAGGATCGTTAAATATTAAATCACAAAAATCCCATAATAGTAACTGATGATGGAAATTCAGCATCACACAGCAGTGTCTGGTTGTATAGTAAATTACTGTAGGCAGCTATATAATTAGGTCTATTTATTTTACCATTTCATGTACTTTAGGCCTGTTAACACTAGCTATGCAAAAGTGCTTTTCTTCAGAACTATAGTGTATAGCATTGTTTGACAGGATATACTGTAGTTGTTACTGTGCCTTGTACAGTACTTAAAAAGCGAAAATGTAATTAAGGAGTAATCTAAGTCTGTATTAATCATGATAATTCATACATGATATTATAAATGTATTAAAATTGAACCTTAAAATGGTCAGTTAGTTACTTACAACTCATGAACAACACATGCTGAGTAACCGTTAACCTTGCATAATTCGATTGACTCCCATACTAATATTATGAGAAACCTGAGAATTCATTTGATTACAAATTGATCTCAAGAGATTTTCAAGTGATGCATTCTGGAAATTAATATAAAATTCTTAATAAAGTCACTGTACAACATGTGAAGTATGCTTGGAGTGGATTTTTTTTGGTGTAAAACCCACGGAAGTTTAAAGATTTATTTTTGAGTGGTGGTCCTTCAGATGGTGAATTGTGCTGTGCTCTGGGAGACAATCCCCTTGTACCTTTTCCGAACTAGAATTTTTTTTTTAACTTGCCCAGTATTGGCATTATTGGACACAGGACCAGCAACAAAATACTGTATCTCTTCCACAAAATGATGCACTGTTGTAACTTAAACAGCTCTCCACAAATACAAAAAGTTGAGTGATTGGATGTGAACCAGAAGCCAAGTATCTGAAAAGATCCTCGGTTCAGTGCACGAACACATTGGCTACCACCAGTTTAGCCTGCTGAGCTAATTTGCGCTCCATAGTAAACTCTTTGACATTTGCATATTTTCTAATCTTATTTTCAGCTGATCCAAGAAATCCAGGAATTCCTTTAGCTGCACATGCTGTGTACCCTCCTACAGGTAAGATCACGCATTCCACGCGTAGGTATGCTCCCGTAGGTACGCTACAATAAGAAATTCTCTTAATTCTCTCATATGCAGGAGTCTCAAGTTGAAAGAAGCCAATTCCAGTCTGTGAGATCTAATTTATAATGAGCTTTCTTAACACAACAAATTTGATTTTTTGCTAGGAGACAAGTAAAAACATGCAAATATCAGGGCTTGAAATTAACCTTTTTTCTTGGTAGCACTGCAAAAATTTTCTGGCACCCCCCAAAGAAATTTGGTAGCATAAGTAATTTTTTTAGTAGCACATATTTCCCCATCCTTTTCGCATCCCCTAAGATAATAAGCGCTACGCAATATTTTATTTTTTATATTTCCTAACAAACTCCCACCAACCCACCTACACTGTCCCCATGGATTATTATGCAAGAAAGAAGACATGAAAGAAAAAGAGAAGAGATTTTTTAAAATTGAAAAAAAAAACAAGGAAAAATAATAAATAAGAAATAACAAAAGGAAGGAAAGAAAAAAAAATAAAAGTAAAATGGTGGAAAGAAAATGACAATGACAAAACTAAAAGGAAGGTAAGTATCAAAAATGAAATAAGAAAAAGGATGAAACAATATTAAAAAGAAAATATATATTAAAGGGATAGTAAAGAAAAAAGGTGCAAGGTAAAAAATTCAACCTAACTGGAAGGAAAGGGAAAGTATTTCATGGAAAGTTTCAATTGTTAGGAATATTTCTAAGAAAATTACAAATTTCTGTTAATTATTAACAGAATACACAATATAAAAAAGAAAAACATGAGCAGTAATAATGTGCTAGCTAAACTGTCTAGTCAATGGACTGCCAAAATCTGCAGTTACTTATGTGGATTGATATATTGATTATAAAATTATTAATTATTATTACTGAAACAATTAATTATATTTTCTGTACACTTTCTTAAAATTTTTCAGTATTTTTCTTCATTTGTGCAGGAAATTTCGAGAAAATAGGTCCGCAGAATTGCACTAACACTGCGAATGCCTATACATTGGTTACAATAGCCACCGGCCGACTTTACTGCAACATTTCTGCGGAAATTGGCAGACTTATTTTTAATATGCGTGGATAGAATTTTTTCTTTATGAGATAACTCTAAATCAATTTACACATAATAATTTCAACCTAAATAGAGTTCCAGAGTTTTCACCAACATTTATGGAGTGCTGAGATTCCAGCTCCCCACTTGTCAAAGGCCATTTAGGCTTCGTTTTAAGCCCGAAAAATTGGCATCACACAGTCCGGGCCGCGAGCCGGCGACACTTCTTATTTAGGTTATATTGTAGCCTAGAACATTAGGCCTGGGCCTGTACAACTTCAGAAAAGTATCTTATACCTACATATATAACGATCTATAGTTTCATTTTCTTGTTCAATGGTTGTTTTTATTGAGAATTATTAAAAAAAAAAAAAAAAAAACTGGTACGCCTTCCAACTTCAAAACTTCAGTATTAATCGCCAGTGAACATTGTCAAACTTTTAGTGTTTACAAAGGTTTCGCAGAGTAACATATCCCAAACATTGCAAGTTGCCCCGAATGATGTAATATCCCAGCATTCTGATTGGTTTACAACTTGCAATGGACTCAACATTATACCTTACTCGCCAGCCGGTGTAGTCGGGCGCACATGTGGTTTGGGTTGTTACTCCGCGAAATATAGTAATTGGAAGGCCTGCTACCGGTTAGTTTGATGTTGTTTTGTTGTTACTTTTTTTGTTATTGTCAAACGCAAAACATTCCTTGTAGAATTATATATTTTTTATATATCTTCTAGATTAAATTAACCAATTAATTCAATTGTTGCACTTTATTAATTCCACGTTTAAAATTTAATCTTTAAATATTCATTTATATACAATTCAATTTTTATATTATTTCAAAACACGATTAAACAATCATTTTGCTTACTTTCTGCTGATACTTTGTTAAGAATGAAATAAATTGTTTGATAGAGGCCCATTTACTAGTTGCCTATGAAATAACTCTGCTTAATACTACATTCAGTGAGAAACGTTCCCAATTCCAGGCTCCTCCTGGTAGACACAGACACCGAGGTTGCCAGACACAAAGTCATTTGACTCTTTGTATGCCGCCGATACGAACAAAAGTAGGTCAGAAGCCGACTGGCTCGTTCAATAAATGAATGGTAGTAAAGGAGTTGCTTTCTATATTATTTCATTTAATTAGGTTTCAAAATTTGCTGTGAGACCTATTTATTTGTTTGTTTTTTTGTAAATTTCAAGATGTTGCTCATTGAGATGCATGTTGTTAAACTATACCTGCTCCATGAAGTCTGGCTGAGGCTATCATCAAAGAGTATTTTAATTATACCCTTTTTGTTATCATCAGCCATGTGATTGAAGAAGCGTAATCTTATTTCATAATGTATGAGGTTTAGGTAATTTGTTTGGTTTTCAATAAAAGATGTCTGCCTTAATAATAATACCGGTAGTACTTTGAATATAATCATCCAGATGATGCCTAATTGTATTTATTTACGATCTATTTAGAGTTAAATTTTGATTATTGCTTGATCTGGGCCGTTTACATCATATGAGTCCAATACAGTATACGATCATTTGAAATTTTGGTACATAGTCTATTTTATGAACAAATATGTTAAGGAACAAGGAGGTGCAGGTAAGAGTAGCACTCAATAAAATAGTAAAAAATCGTGCAATCCGATGTTTTTATACCAGTCTCCTTCGCTTTGACGGTGATCGCTTATTTACCAAGAATAAGATGAGCGCACATTGACACGTTTTAGTGTACGACGTCACACTTTAACAGTCTAGGTCATGCTGATTGGTTGATACAGTACATGTAAAATGAATGATAACAGGTTTTGCGTACTGCCTGACTGAAAATAATGGGCTGTACAAGTTGTAAATAATTGGGATTTGGAGGGAAACCACCTTCCTGCTGCTTACAAAATCTACTTGCGCTATCAAATGACCTTGTCGCACTGAGCGCAACAAAGTTTAATTTCCTTGTCGCACTTTAAAAAATCAGGTCGCAAATACGAACAAATAACCCTTAATTTCAAGCCCTGATATATTAAGAATTTGTGGGAAATATTTTAGTTTTCCGGGGTGCGGGAGACTGTCCCCAACTGCTGAGAGTTTCTCACCACTTGAGAGAGACTTAGAACCCCTGCAATTAGATTTTTTCCCCTTAAAGTTTGTGAGAGATCAGAGATAGTTTAGGGGCCTACAGTAGTACCTTCTTCAAAAAAAAGAATAAAAACCATAATAAACCAAATACACAAATTTAATCTAAATGAATATTTGTGTCTCATCTACTGTATTTTGACATTCAGTGCGAATGCAATCTATATTAGGGTGAACTAGTTTCTTGTCCTAGTTCAACATAAAGTGTAATGTTTGTACAGTATTTTGCCCTGCACTTCTAGCATCACACCACACTATTCAGTACCACCACCTTTAACGATTAGAGGCCTTCGCTTAAGATGCTATAGGTTGGGAACATTTACTTATACACTTATATTCATTTTCGTGGGCTGCAAATGATTCATATACTTGATTTTCACATAGCTATTTACAGTAGGTTGTAGAGAAACAAATTAGTTTTTTTGCTGTTAAGAAAACCATGTCAGTGTTGATGTTAGTGTCACTTTGTATTGCACTCTAGGGCATCAGGTACTCGAGTCATTCATTTCATTACACTTACTACTAAGGGTTAATTAGTGTCCATGGAATTTATTCATGAATTAGAACATGACAACATTTTTTTAGAATTGGGTTTCGTGATAAGCTTATGAAAAGGTACAGTTAATACACTATCTATCAATCTAATAAATTTATATAGCCCGGTATCCATTGCAATAATGTTCAAAGGTGATCAACAAAGTTAACTTAGAAATGCTTCAGAGAACAGGTGACTTGCCCATGGAAGTACAGATGCCATGTTATTTGCCCTTAAAATACAGTAGGTCATTTTTGTAGCCCATGGAACTGTTTTTTTTCCAATTGAAGTATGTCATGTTGCCTGCACATGAAAGTATGTTATTTGGGTACTCACGGAATTGTGTAGCTTGCCCATAGAAGTATGTCATGTTGCTTTCCCAGAAAAGTATGTCGTTTATTCATGTAATTATGTCTCTTGATGGAAGTATGTCAATTCCGATATGTCATGTTTTCCATTGAAGTATGTTGTGTTGCTTGCCCATGGGAGTATGCCAACCATGGAAGTATACTGTATGTCACATGGTACTCTAGTGTCTAATGGAATTGTATCATGTGACTTGCTTATGGAAGTATGTCATGTGAAATCGTATTCCTAATGAAAATGTTTTTAGTCAGTCATGTTACCAAACCTTTATGGGCAAATCCACGGTAACTAAATGACATTCTGACACAGATTTGTATTTTCAAACACATGTACCACAAGGTACTTCTGCCAATAAACTAAAAAAAAAATACATTTTTTTCATAACAAATAGCTTCCTCTATATACAAAATGATTTTTTTTTTTTAAATCACTTTCCGTTAGTAAAAAAATTATACTAATATGAGTGGTAACTAAATGACGTAAATCTGACATGGGGCTATGATTCCTCAAATGGAGATTTAAAATGGTTTAACTCTAAGTTCCTGTTATAGCCTCTAGAACAATGGTCCAGACAACTTTTCGTCCAATTTTCAGACATTTGCTATTTCTAATTACATGCTACAACTTTTCTGATTATAGATTTGGAATAAGCATTGAAAGTATGGCCTACCATGGTCCTGTAACACAAACTTTCAGGGTTATGGGGGTTGTACTTCTGAAGATATTAGCATATAAAAATCAATTTTCATTTCTGTGGCGCATTTTAATTAACCAATTACCTTAAAAATATGTCTTTAAATCATAATATTTACATCTAATCAAGTATATTGCAGTTGCCTAAATTTTTGTCATTTAGTTACCGTCATTTAGTTACCGGAGTCTTGTTAATAAAAATCACATTTATGATAAATAATTTTTTTTTTTAAATAAAAGGTATTACATTCATTGTTATACCCTACTGTAAGGATTGCTCTTGATACTGTATAAATAAAATTAGGCCTCTAAGATTTTTAATTAAATGTACAATAGGTATAAAACCCCGGTTTTAACACATACTCAACATAATACGTATTTAACCATATTCGCATCCGATTAAGTTTGCCAAGACTAACAGGGAAATTCAAAAGCTTTGCAGTGTGTGTGGTATTAGCATGTGCTCAGAGATACTATAATACTTAGTCATACTATCTATACTGAATTTTCTAGATCGGTAAAAATTGCCTGGTCAATCTTCATGCATCTGGGCACACTTCGTTCAGCAATAAAAGTAGCCGAGATGCTGGTTAGCCAGTGTGAACAAGGCTATAAACCTTTGGCTGGAAAGTATCCAATCACAAATGATGAGTGATTAATTAAACTTTTGTCACAAAACACCACCAAAACCAGACCTAAATAGTAACAGGCCCATATTCTTAGAATATGCCAAATAAGAAACTGATCATTTGCATAATAATTAAGCTATTCAGTGGAAATTGTTAAAATACTTTATTGTATAAGACTCAAATGACATCCTTGTGAGTTACATAAACTTGAAAACTCATTCAATAACACACTTTATTGCAAATAAACTGAACTGTTTCAATACAAATTTTGACTTGTCATTGTGTTACCGTCATTTAGTTACCGGCTCGGTAACTAAATGACATATTTAATATGCTAATAACTTATTAACAAAAATGAATTAGGAAATAAAATTAATGCCACTAGATAGCCCTATTAAAACTAGCTTTGTATATAAAGTTGTATTGTTTAATAATTTATATTTTTCGTAAAAAGTTAACTTTATGTTGTTTTCTGTTAACTAAATGACATATTAATTGGTTTTAATATTTTCGCATTTTGATTAATAAAACATGAGGCAAAAGTAAAACTGAATGAAAATATGTGTTCTTAGTAAGCCATTTGACCATATTAAACTAGATTTTAATATAATTTCAAGTTTTATCTTAGTCTATTTTGGTAAGTTGGTATGTGAAATTTTATCAAAATAAAAAAATTATTTATTGACATATTTTAATTAATATTTAACAATACTTCTGATTTGAAATTTTAAAATCTTGAACGTATATGTTTTAAGCTTTAATAAAACTGTAAATATAGAATGAATATGAAAATTTGAAAATTTAGGTGCTTTGTCCATTTTGCATGGAATTGCCCATATACAAATGAGGAGCTAAAAATACTTGCTTGAAAAGACTATTTTTCATGCATTCAATACAAATAAACTTGGTAGCTTATCCATTTTGATTCTAGTCCTAACTGCAGGGAGTATGTGATGATCGGCAATGAACTCTAGAATTAAGTCATAAAGGCCTGTTTATACTTGTAACGATAATAATAACAATAAAATGCTAAAAAGTTTGTTCATACAGAAAATAGAAGAAAAAATTTTTTGCACTAGGACGATTCGATGGCGACTATCGTCTATACGATAACAAAATATTTCGACAAACCAATTTAACTGACATCATAATCATGGGATAACGATAAAATCATTGTTTGTTTGTTTGTTTGTTTTTTTATTGTTCATTTTCCACACAATACAACATAATCATGATAAAGCCAATAAATACGTCGTAATATAATACATAAAAGTAAATTATTTGTGTGGAAGGCGACCAAAATAAGTTCGAGAACTTTAAGTCATGGTCGCCTAAAAATCAGATGGACAAAGTAATTTATAAGTAAATGTGAAGAAGAAAACCGGGCAAACACAAAATAAAAATTAGGGAAAAATTAGAAACAATCAATCTAAACAAGCAAAAACTTGTTACTACTATGATTTTTTTTCATGATTATGACATCATTTTGAATTGATTCGTGAAATATTTTTTATCTTATACACGATACTGTAAGTCATCATTGAATCGTCCTAGTGTAAAAACTTGCCTTATTTCTTTTATTTTCTGTACTAACAATTGCTTTTTAGCTTTTTATCGTTATCGTTATTGTCATCATTGCAAGTATAAACAGGCCTTAATAGTTTACAGGCTCCTATCCACCACTATTATTTCAACAGTTTACAAATTGTAACAAAATAATTAGTTTACCTAAACACAATAGACAAGCTAAATTGATAGATAAAGACAAGAAGAATACAATAAATGTTTCCGTGGTTACGTTAATTGTAACAAAATACTGCACTGCCCTGCTATTCATCGCTAACTGAACAGCCTAGCTAGGCCCAGTTGAGTCATAGCGAACGTCGTGGGCCGGCATGACACGGTTGCTGTACACATTCAAAAGTTAAAGTTGAAATCGTGACCATTCAAGTGTTTTATTATGAGAGCATGATCCGGGGCAGGAAGATTATTAAAAATTTACGAAACCTGATTTATGTTTTATTTCTTTACTTTGTTTTCATTTTGTATTTTAAGTTTTTCACTTTTAGTCATAATTGATATATAATGTGTAAATGGAAAAAAAAAAAAAAAATGAGTGCACATAAATCAGTGGCATACACATTCATCGTGGTAATCGTAAAAACATATGAAATTACGGCAAACAATTTGGCTGGGTACAGTCGGATTGACGCTTTGTCGCCGGGATTTGTTCATTATTATTTTTTAATCTAAAACAAAGCATGTCAACTATTGAATTTAATTAGGCCTACAGTAAGTCTCATCTTCATCTGTTTTGTTGCATTCTTCCCCCCCCCCCTCGGAAAACGCGGGATGATCGCTGATCGGCACTCCAAAAAGCTGGTGACATCCCTGTATCACCCAAATATCGGCATATCACATTTTAATATTGGTCACATAAAATTTGATAGTGTGGACAGGCCTTTATACTCTAATTTTAGATTTAACTTTACTTTCTTTGTTTTCCCTTCAGATGCTGCCAGTTGGCACCAAGCAAGAGGAGCTGTATTCAAGACTGCAGCAATAAATCAAACGGGTAAGATAACTATTTGTTACTGTGGTTACATTTTACAGGTGTTGGTGTTATTTTAACAAATGACACTGTATACAGTAGTTATGACCTTTGAACTGGATGAACAACCTCAGTTATCTTTACCTGTGTATAACCTCTTTCCTGAGAATGCTTTATGGATGTGATATTTGGCAGAGGAAGTATGGTATAACTAATTATGTTTCCGCAGTAGATTCTCACGATAAAAACTTACTGGTTATTCAGGTCTCATATTTTGTGTTTTAAAAGTAAATGTATGCGAGGTGGATACAAACCACTGAAGCAAATATAGGTAATTGGCTTAATGGACATGTCCAGAGTATCCATCAAACCTAACTGACCAACAAAGCATACTGTTCATAGGCAAAGCCAAGAATATACAAATGACTTATTATACTGTACAAGAACAGAAGTTAACAACTGTACAGCTACAGTATCATGTTGTGAGACAACAGTGTATTACTTATCCTATGTGTAAATCCATAATGCCGTGAGACAGTTTCATTTTGCTACAAAGAATTCTTAATAATTTAGTATTCAATTTATCTTGCAACAGATCCTAGGAACCCAACGGTACCTCTGCCTGCACATGCTGTATACCCACCAACAGGTAAGTGTGCTCCTATCAACATCTCTTGACTTAAGCCCTGTTGAGTCTATCAAATTTTATTTGACAAAAACACTGTGACATGCCTAAATATGGTCATGATGACATCACACCATGACCTACAGTATACTGTAACAGTTTAAAAAAAAAAAAAAAAAAATATGTATGGTGCTTTGAAGTGGCACCCCCTACCCTAGGGCCCTTTGGGACCATCGGCTCGGCCCAGCCTAGCCTAGCCCATAAAACATTATTTGAAAGCTCATAAAAGATTTTATCACAACATATTCAAGCGATGTTTACCGGCTCTAGGTTAGGTGTCATAAAATATTTATGTAGTGTGTAACGTAATGTAAACGTAATCTGTTTGTTTTTAAATTTTCTACCAGTGGGCGGATCATATACAAATAATGGTTCTCATGGTTACAGTGCATACCCACAACATGCAGTCGCCTACCCAGCAACTGGTCCACGTAAGTCAAACTCTTTCAATTACTGATACATTCTTTAATTTGCTATTATATATAATTTAAGAACTTTTTCCTTCAAAATTTTTGTTTACTCTGTAAGACCATTTGTGAGTGCCACTGGTACAAAGATGTAGTATCATCAAATAAATAAATATAAAAATTGAAACTTGCATATTTAGTTTCTTGTCTCCCAGTGTCAGTGTTAGTGGTGTAATATATTACTATACCTCATAAATATTTATAATATGTAATAACATTTTATTAATCAGTTTTACTCGGTACTTTATAGAGTGTTTCACAAACTTTCCGGCGATTGCATATTTACGCACAAAGGCAAAAAAATACTCCTGGATTTTTAATTGAGAGATTTGAGTCTGAGGTTGGTTATTGATTGGGCTATTAGGCAAGGCAATGTACCTGCATTGCTTCTCTCCACTGAGGAGTTAGATGGATGGGTACCTGGGTTGGTAGTTAGATGAGTATCTGATTGAGTACAGTAGTTAGTTGGGTACCTTGTTGGGTAGTTAGATGGGTATCTGATTGAGTAGTTTAGTTGGGTACTTGGTGGGTATTTAGATGGGTATCTGATTGATTAGTTAGTTGGGTAGTTAGATGGGTACCTGTTTAAGTAGTTAAATTGGTACCTTGTTGGGTGGTTTCTTTTACATAGTTTTGATTGTTTTATTTTGGTTGTTGATTACAGGACAAGTCGCAACAGCGAGTTCAGGGCAGCTGGCCTACCCATATGGACCTTACACTACCACTGCTGGCATGGTACACACCCCAGCACCAGCTTATCCACCTAATCCAACATACACACAGGTAAGCAACTGACTAAGCAGAACTTGTCTCCCAAACACGTGCTGTCTCATAAAGACATGAGGTTTGCATATATTTACACTGTTGGTTTGTAGGACCTTAGCAGCAATATTTAATAGGTGGGGCTTTACAAAAAAGGTTCATTATTGTGGTAGGTTTGAACACCAATGTGCGCTGATTATTACTCGTAGGTGCAATGATATGGACAAGGAAATGAGTATGTGTTCCACAGTTGATTATCATTTACCATTTTTTGCATAATATATTAATGCTTGTGGTACACCACATAGATAGTTCTGAAAAGAACTGTTGTTTGTTGAGTATTGTCTCAATGTTTCAATTTAGTTGCTTTAATTTTCTTCAGGAGAATAATATTTGCAGAGAATCCAAACAGGGAAATAATATCTGCAGAGAATCCAAACAGGGGAAAAAAACATGTAAAAACATTTGTACATAGTTCTTGTGATTATCTGATGGAATACATTTTGTATTTTTATAACAAAAAAAAAATTTACTTCTAATTAAATGTGTCATTATACAAGTTTTTTGATTCATTGATTAGTATTGATATAATTCTGTTGTATTGTTTTAGGATTATCCCCATTTGTAAAGGTTTATCCCTTGGATTAACAGATTTTATGTAATGCCATAATATTCTTCAGGCTGGTGCCGCCTCCTACATGCAAGCTGCAGCTTATGCCCATTCGCTGTCTGGTTCGCAGATTGTACACAGTACCACAGTGTTACAGCAACAGCAACCTTACCACACCGTCTACCTTCCTGAACAGTCGCCAGTTCATGGTGTACGTTAACATTTTGATTTTGAATGTTAAATATTATATAATTGTATGGCTTCATGTCTGTGTTTTTATTTGTCTGTTTATATTTTAGTTTAAACTCTGTAGCTCTCTGTTTATATTTGGTGTTTACTGTAAATGAATCATTAAGTGTTCCTAAAATAAGCACTGCTCTCGTTAAAGCATTCCCCGAACATTTTTTTTTTTCACTAAGCTTCACTCTTGAGTAAGCATCACAGCATTATTCTATTATAAATGTTGCAGTACTTTAAATAAACTTTTCCAGTATAATTTTATCATTGGGATAATGTTGAATATCCAATTTACACGAATTATTTAATTTGTGTAAATATCCAATTTACATGAATTAAATAATTTTTCACGTTTTAACTAGATAAGCGTATGTACAAAACATGGTAGCATTTGAGTATTACAATTTGTAATAAGTGCTGCTTTCGAATAAGTGCCGTTAAGTTATGCCGTTGACTCTGGTAAGCTCAATATGTGATTGCACAATCTTTTTTTTTTTATCTTTAGATGACCTCACAAGTCCCGGTGTCAGCAGCACCAGCACCAGCGAATGTGTCACCGTATTGCAACCGAGCCCTGCCTCCTACAGCAGTAGCTGGAGCAGCTGTCGGTGTAGCAACAGCAGGAATCAGTCCCTACGGAGGAGCAGGTTTACCCCCAGGCTGGGCCTACCGCTATCCACAATCCCAATTCCACCCTCCACCTCAGTAGATGAGGTACCTTCTGTGCGTCTTCCAAATGGTTGTATGTTACCCCAGCAGTTAACAGGTATACTACTTGTGCTGACGCTGGCAATTGCCATATCAGTAGCATGATTAGAATGGATCTAATTCGGTTACAGATGTACTCATCTTGTACACTCTACATAGGTTTGCAAAGTATTAGACACCCGCAGGATCCAATATTTAGACAGTTGGTAGCTATATATAGAGCTTTTCTCTAAGGATCCACTTAAACCACGAACTTTAACATTGGCTGTTGCCATAGAAGGTTGCCAGGGTAAGAATGCAGTAACTGGCCCAGTATTAGACTGTTTATTTAGGGACCAGTCCAATATATCTGCTTATTTATGTATTCAATATGTTACCTTCCATTCCTTCAATTTTGAAATGCAGTTACTGTTTTTTTGCAAACTATTTCCATGATTAATTAGTGTAACATGGAAATAATGTTTGAAGTCATAAATTTAGTTAGGTGGAAGTGGTTTTTTTTTATGTTGTTTACAATCATGATGATTATTTTATCAGTTTATTCCTTTTTTATTTTTGAAAATGTTGCCATTTGAGGATGCATTGTTGAACTGTATTAATTTTTTTGTATTAAATTATTATTAATACTATTGTTTTTTTCTCTCATTTTTCCTTTAGTAGCAAAACATATTTACTACTTGTGATGTGGTGATCATTTATCTTCTTATCTATATATTTATTTTATTTGTCTCTTTCTAAAATTCTAATCATTGCTAAGCTGCATGAGATGCAGTTGAAACTATTAACCTTGATATCAGGGGTTCGAATCCTGCATGGTTCATTTTGCTTGTGTCCTTGGCAAGCACTTCTAAGCCCTGTCCAGACTATGAAATTTTATTTAACAAAAAAACCATATATAGTCATGATGTGCCTATATATGGTCATGATGTGCCTATAGATGGTCATGATGTGATGTCATCATAACCATATTTGGGCATATCTCATGTTTTTTTTAAATTAAAATGTAATAGTCTTGAGAGGGCTTATTCCTCTCTCCACCCAGTAGTACAAATAAACTAAATATAAATGTGATTTACTAGCAAACAAATTATGTAATGATAATTATAAGTATAATATTGGGAATACATTTATAGCCATTTCGGTCCAATGACTGCTGTAATCATTTCATTAGATGCTATACTTTCTAATACTGTTGGTTTGCTTGGTGGGTAAAATATTAAACAAATTTAGTAGTTGCACCATGTAAACTAACTTCTTCTAATTGTGTTAAATGGAAAAACTACGGACAAAATATATAAAAAAAGATTATTATCATTATTAATAATATTATAATTAACCTTGTTTTTAGGGATTTAAATCTATTGTACTTACTCTTCCGTCATTATTTTATATGTAGCCAAAGTTGTGTGAGATGTGCAATCATTAGCCTTTTATTTCCAGTTTTTGTTTTCACCTTAAAAGTAGATCAGGTACTGAATAGTAATTAGATAATCAGTGATTCTCCTAATTACTAGTTAATTAGGGAGATATCCACAGGTAGTGCCCCATTTTTGTGTTGTTTACTTCAAAAGAAGTGAGAGCATAAATAAAATAATACTTTCGCTAAATTCTAATTGCTTTTATTTTTTCAAGAACCATTTTAACATAAGATACAATTTAGCAGGTATTAAGCTCCTGGACTATTTCTGGATATTCCATTCTATATTAAACTTGGTTTACTGATATCGCATCAGTACGTAATTTTATTTCAATATTGTTTCCCTGCTTAAAGCCTGTGGTTTACATTATTGTAAATAATTTAAAATTATCATTGAAAATGGATCACATTACTTAATATTCAAACACAAAAAAATAAATTCAAATGTAAGAAAATTATAGTATTGCACACATTCAGGGTATAAATATTTTGACACATTTGCTGCCACTGCCAGAGAGGAGTATACTCGTCACACTGGGTTTTGATGAGGGTACTACGGATGACTATACTCGTCAAAATCAGGGTAACATTCTAGCGTTTATTACTTCTTTGTTATACATTCATTGTAGAACCACAGACTAAACGGCTGGTAGCTGGGGAATATTTTCCCACCAATTTAGTAGACACAGAATTTTCTTGATATATGACTAGATAAAATTTAAAAAAAGTATGTTTATACATGTAAACCAGTTTTGGCACACGGGAAGTAACCTAAAACAATGTCCAGCATGCAACGTGTTAGTTTATTTTAATTTATTTATTTTTATTTCATAATATTTGTATTATTTATTATACTCTAAACGTAAATATCTATGAAACACAATTTGTTTTTTTTTTAGTAATATTTGTTCTGCCTGATAGATGCTTTATACCTTGAGACAGTATATACTTACCTATTTAAGTTTATGCAAATTATTGTCTATTAGTGACAAAATAGCTGAACCTAATTCACCTTCAAACTTAACTAACAATAGTCAGAATTTGGTATTAAAGGTGCCTAAGATTCAGTGTAGCTATGGCTTTTATAAACTGCTTTTACCTTTAACATAGAAGTTTAAACTTAAGCCTCTAAGTAATTACTTCATCTACTCTTGCCATTTAGAATAATAACTTAACTGACAGATCAACTTCTGAAGTATACAGTATTCAGTTTACCTATGTGATGTCAGATTAGAGTTTCTTCATATTTTAGTATAATTTTCTGCTTTGAAAAGATAAGGTAGGCCCAAGTTCAACAGGAATGCAAAGAAGAGGGGACCCAGGGAGGGACTTAAATGGCATTCTTAGACTTAAATTTGTATGTAGTTCTCTACATCAAAAATTTTTTTTTAAACAATTAGGGAGGAAGGGATCTGCGCTGGCTGGCTCTACCTTTGTACATTCTGTGCAAAAGTAGGCCTAGGTGTGAAGTTGGTTGTTTGTGAGGAAGGGGGTGGGGTGTGCTTTATTCCTATGCTTGTATCCTTGGGTTGAGGTTTTTGACTTTAGGTTTGCATCCAATGTGTTTAATTAGTGTCTCATCTCCTTAGTAAGTTTTGTTTGTCTCCAATTTGTAAAATCTTATAATTTATATCCACCCTCCTTGCAGCTTAAAACAGTATTAAATAAACATTTTTGTAAACTTGTAGTTAGTACAGGTGCCAAGGGTTTGTTTCATTGTACATCAACTCAAATTTGTTCCAAGTTTTCCACTGATGAAACATCTTTCAAATTTGAAAGATGGATTTGATAGATAAGAATTATCCATTCCATAGTGCCAAAAAAAGCCAAGGTATTCTAAAAATAGATGATGTAATCAATTAAACATCTGTATAGTATTATAGACAACATTCATTGGACATTAGTGAGAATCGTTTTAGCATGAACCAGGTGTATAAAGAATAAATATGTTGTAATTGGATATGCCATGTGATCTATAAGATATTCATTGGTTTTTGACTGACATTTCTTATGCTGCTTTCATATTATTAATTTTTTTTTCACAAGATTTTTTCCAATAAGGTAGGAAATATGCCATGTCTCCAAGATTAGGGTGGTTTTTTTTTTTAATTCTTTTTTAATTTTATAGATTGGTCCATGCCATAGATATGTGTACTGTTTTGAAATAATACCATGTTGTGTGTGTTTTTTAGCATAACATACAAAATGTGTATAATGTACCAATATTAACAACTCCAAAATGTGAAGCCTGTCAACTCTAATTGATGTATGGTGGGTTTTTGCATAATTGATCACATTCATTAATTTAGTGATTAGGATATTGCGAGAACATATTGTAAGGCCATCAAATATAATACAGGTTTATCTGGACGTGCGCAAATTAATTTTCTAGGAATCTCAATCTAGCTTTTGCACAAAATAATACGTTGTTATTTTAAATCTAAAAATCTAATGTTATACAAAATTGAAAGTATAGATGTAATAATGCAACTACTTTTATGATATAAGGAGTGCTTATTGTAATAGCAGAATCTTGAATATTTCATTCATCTAGCATTTTAATCTCTTATTAAATCCAATCCTTTTTATGTTCACACTTTTGTATCCATTTTTATAGCCTAACTTATTTTTGTATGTTCAATTTTAGCCCACCAGTTTTATTTTTTTTAAAATTTAATTTATTTGATATTGTTTTTCTATTTACTGGTTTTCTACATGAAAAAAAATCTGCTAATGGTGCCTATAATCTCAGCAATGTTGTGTTTATATTCACAATCTAAATGTTGCCTAGCAACTGTAGACCGTTTTTTTTTTTTACAGTAACGTAGGCGATTCTGATTATTTTGATAAAATGAGCTAAAGATTAGTGTTCATTATTAGCTTAAAAGTATGAAAATATGATCAAACAGTTATAAACATACATGTATATCAGTGTTATAAAGAATTTGAATTTCCAAAAATGCATTTCAAATAATCCAATGTGATCTCTAATAATTATTATTGCTTTACTGTTAGAAGGATCCTGTCCACAAAGTGTTGACAATCAATCGTTTTCCTATTTAGCTATGTGATCATTAACTACTGTGCTTTACATGATCAACTCCCATAATCACTGTGATTACTAATTTCCATCATGAACTCAGTTTGTTGTAATCAACTCTCATTATGCATTTGATAAGTAACTTAAGTCATCTCATGCTCATCATCTCTTGATTATCAACTCAAATCTTTCTCTGAGGATCATCAAATCTCATCATTTCTTGTCATTATCAACTCCCATCAATTTTTTGATCATTGACTCTCATCATCCATTGTGATCATTAATGTCAATGCTTCCTTGAGATCATCAGCTTCCATCACCCTTCCAAACAACCACCCATCATGCTCTAATATGATCAACTTTCATCAATCCTTGTGATCATCAACTCAAATCATTCCTTGTGATTATCAACTCCGGTCACTTTTTGACCATCCACTCCCATAACCCTTTGTGACCATCAATTCCAAGGCTTCCTTGCGATCAACATCCATCTCCCCTTCCAGTCACCAACACCCATCATCCTTGGTTTACCACAATCAACTCTGTCATTCCTTGTGATCATAGTTTTTGAATGACCATCAACTTCCATTACCCATTATAATCATCACCTCCCATCACCACTGTTATTATCACCTACAATTCTTCCTTGAGATCATTCAGTTCCATTATCCATTGTGATCCCCAAACACCCATGTTCCTCTACAATGATCAATGGGTGGCATTATATTTTATGATGTCATTTTGATCAATTGAATAGAAACAAAACATTTTTGAACAAAATACTATATATTATTATTTAATAATTTCCCTTGTCTGTAAAATGTAGCTGTAACCATGGTGTCTCCAGCACTGTAATAATCCATGGTGTAAAATTACACAAAATTATGTCATTTTTCTGGAGATGCATGTATGCGCTGATAAGGAGGCTAAGGTCATCTTATTTTAACAGATCTGTGTTCCATCTAGAAACATAATTCCGTAAATGTTCAGTATTGAGTGTTGTTAAACCTAGCAACAAAAACATTACAATACATATTATGTTATCCAAAGGTACTTATCTGGTTCCACTTTCAGAAGATAATATTAGTACAGATAATATTAATGGTAATTATGATTATTGTATAATTAAGTGCTTCTTTTTAAATAATAGAACTATTTGGTAGAATATTGTGACATATTCATATTTACTCAACAATATTAATGGATTTTTTTCTTTTGAAATTATGTAAATTTAATGGAGTTTATTGATATGTGGTAATTTGCCCTATAATATTGTTCTCTTGAAACCCATGTAGGGCGACGGTGAAGGAAATAACAAAATACCGAGTCTGCAGACTATTATTCCATTTCACAGAATATTCCATTGTTGGATTATTTTTTGGTTAACCTTATCAATTGTATGATATTTTTAAAAATTTACTCTGATGTATTTAGTCATGTAGCAGTGTTGCTGAGTGCAAACAAGGACATAAAATCTAATATGTTGAGGAAAACGTTAAATATACTACTGTGTTGAAAATAAACATGATGATTACTACTATCACCTGTAAAAAAAAAAGTAGGCCTATCAAATATACACGGCCGGTTTTTAAAATTTTAATTTGCTACCACCTGGGAAGAATGCCACCGGTCACAAAAAGCCTTTTTCTCTGTGAAGCCACCTGGTATTGTAATTCTTTCTGGCTGGCTACGTTCACATTTGCAACTCGCGCCAGGAGTGAACCTCAAGCCGCGTTCACACTGAAAACAATGCACACACTCAGTGATTCGCGCTGGCGCAAGTCCCAAATGTGAACATGCCTCTGATGTATAATAATTGCTACCAATTCTCATTGATTGTTAGTTAGCTTCTAACTTTTTATGCAAATTAATTTTCTTGTGGATACGATTACACTGGCGAATCCGGAGAGGAGGAGGAAGATGTGGCTTCGTGTTCACATGACCCTGGATTCGCTGCTGTATGTAATACCCAACTCAATTATAATGTTAAACCCTATGTTTAGGCCTATTGTATACTATTTACTAGTAGAATGTTAACACCAAGATGGAAAGATGTTTTTACTATTCTTTAGGCTGCAGGAGTAATATAAAATTACGATTATATCGATTTATATGTATTCGGTTGGTGTTGTGCCTTAAGATATTTAGCTTAGCAATAACTTACTATTCATATTCAACATTTATTCGATGTGTAAAATTTCTTTTGAACTTTGACCTGATATGCCAATCATGTCAACGTTTATGTAGAGGGATATTAATGAGAATATTAATAACGTACAGATACTATTAATAGCCGAGTATTAACTAAATGGCATTCCGATTATAATGTAATTGTTATTCAATATAATGCTTCCTTACATTTTAACCGCGTTATTCACAATGACACAGTTATGATCCAAGTGTTACACTGTGTGAAATGATAGAATGACCCGGCTTTTCGTCTGCTCTTCATTTTTTTTAATTACAAAATGAGTTAGATGATTCTTCTGATGGTATAAATTGGTCGTAATTTAGGACAATATATTGGCTGAAGGTCTACGTTAGTAAGGGTTGATGATCTGTTCCATTTTTGTCACAAAGTGTAGTTTAGATTTTTGTTTTCTACCACACAGAATATTAAATCGATGCTGTGGTTGCGAAATGGTTATTTAGTGTAATACTGTTTTGAAGTTTAAACAGGTTACATACACGGTTATAGTGTACAGTAATTATTGTTTGGTTGTACACTTTGTCAGACTAATATCGTCTGTTTAAATGAGATCATGTTATTGACGTTAGCTGATGAGATGTAATGTGCAGAGAATGTATTAGATAAGAGTGATTTAACGTTATTTTGAATAAAGTTAATCTCGCCAATATCTGTTCTACTTTCGTTACAATTTTTTTTTTTGTTTTTAGCACACACACTCGATCAACAGAGATGCGCGTTGACATAGATGCGATGCTTTAGAATATCTAAGCAACTGACGACGCGCGCTTTATTTACTGTGGTTACGGGGAGCCTTGGTGACAGTGTGTGTATTGTGGGTACGGTGTAGGAAGTGTGTGGTGTTTTTTAAGGTAGGCTGTTGTATATTGTATAATATAAATCTATAAAAATAATACATACAGTTGATGAATTAAATAATAAATAAATAAAAAATAAACGGGTGAGACCATTTACTTCAAAATCGGTAAGTGTATTGTTTTGTTCGAAATACATAACAATAAGTTTTTAATTTGAACCTATAATAAGCGGTAAATAAACGGCAGGCCTATGAAATTCAAATTAAGATTCCGAAAATGTAAAACTGTTAAATAAGCATACAATAATATAATGTAGGGGGTTTAGAAAGTACAGTACATACTGATATAAGATCCGGCAACGACTATAGAAAGTGTAATTGTGATCTATGATTTTCCTCTTAATGACATGACAGCATCGATAAAGGCGCCATGGAGAGGTTAACAACAGCCCTTACTTCACATGTTGAAGGCTCATCCACCGCCCCACAGTCAAATGAAGACCTGAATCGCCTCCTAGATGAAATAACATTTCGATTAGAAAGGTAATTAAAAAATAATCCTTTTCTTGTTTGCGATGAATATACAGTAGTACCGTAAGTTAGTCTGTAAATTTACAGTTTATCATCTAGACAAACACGGCGGCTACCTTTACTTCATCATAAGTTTTAATGTTATGTTTTTGCATAAATTTATTGACAGTTAATAGTAATGTAGTACACTGACCATTTTTAGAAAACCACGTTGAAAATGAAAATGCTTTTGTGCACTATCCTCGGTGATTATACTTCGACTAATTATATTATTCAATTTAATTCAATTCAATTTTATTTTTTTAGTTACTAGTCTCATCAAGGGCGAATATTCGCATCAACATCATATTTATAATAATTAGGCCTATATACAATAAATACAAAACAAGATAATCAAATTATTAAAGAAAAAGATTTTCAAATTAATGGACCAGTTATATTATTGTTAAAACAAAATTGGTGGCTTGCTTTATATTTATTCTTAAATATTATTTATGTATACTTTTTACTGAACAAATTCAATCAGATATTATATCAAGAATACTTTATTGTTATGGATCAAACAAGTGAACAATGAAGTTTGTGTTTCCACTTGCTAAATACTCACTTGAAAAAACATTATTACTATGTGGTTAAAATATTAAAACATATGTGGGGACAATTAAATAAAGTTAGTATTATTTTTTTCTTCTTCCAAGCATAATTGCCCCCCCCCCTCTTTTTGGGGTGGAAAAAAAAAAAAGAAAAAAGGAAAGAAAAGGGAAAAAATGATAGTTCAGAATGCCTCTAATGTTTTTTCGGGCGTCTAGAACGCAAACATTTCGCGGGGGCATGCCCCCGAACCCCCTAGGTCGGTGTTGTCTCGATCAGCCCAACTTTCGCGACCCCCCCCGACCCCCTTTGGACATCTGGATCCGCCCCTGTATCAGTGGGTGATAGAGACACCTCCATATTATTTACATAGTTTCTTGGTAGCCACTAAAACCATCTCCTCAGATATAAAAACTCACAGACATAATGTTGCTTATCAATAATTTTTTTAATCAATTTGAGTAATAGGTTGTTGTTTATATTTTCTTTTTTTTTAGACGATTTTTGCTTCGGCTATTTGACAAACATGGTGTGCCATCATCGCAATTGGACTGCCTTCCTCCAGTTCCAAAATGCTATTGTCAATGTAAACATCAATGTCAAAGCCATGGCAGCACTTCTCCAGGTCCTTCAACATCAGCTTCTGGCTCAGCATATGAGGACATTGAAGTTCTTCGATATAAGGCTCGCATGATAGTAGGTAATGCTGTCGATGACGCCCTCCATTCGGCTTCTTATACATCATTTGAAAAAGGGAACCTGCAACTTTCTGATTGTCGTACTAATAAAAATCCAGAATATACTAACATATTCGATACAATTGGTGGACCAGATAATATGTCCGCTACAAATTCGTTGTATGTTGTCCGTCGTGCGGCACTCAGAACTCTTCTTAAATACACGTGTAAAGGCAAAGCTAATGCGTTGCTCCACTTAACGGATTACCTACAACAACAACTTGATAACATCGAAGAAGAAAATACTTATTTAGATGTGAAGGCCAAAACTAAGAAACCGAAAGTAAGATTCGAAACCCTAGTGGAAGAGAATTACGATGACATGGATGATAACAGTGATGAATATAATGATATCCTGAATGAATTACCAACAATGGAAAAATCGAAGAAAAAGAAAGTTACAATTGAGACGGCTTTCGAGGAGAGTCGATCGGACCCAGTATCACTGGACTCAAACTATACGTTCAATCTTCGAAAATCTGCTCGTCACTCTTTATCAAAGTATTTACACAAGTCTGACGCTGCGAACGCCATGATGCATCTTTTTGACTCCACGACTAGGCTCGAATTGGCCGACTCGTTCGCCGAGATACACGCGAGCGATGACGACATGCAAGACTTACTGCACACACCCTATTTTGGCTCAGTTGCCAGTTCAGGGGCAGCGCCGAAGAAACAGATTATACCTTCTGATGGATATAACAGAAAGCCATATTCACCTGGTCAGGCGTCGCCATCACCAGATCAACGTCGCGAGAAGACATCGACTATCACAAGTGTTCAGAAACCTCAGAATGTTGCTGAATCTCAGTCACAACAATCACGAAAGGAAAGAGCGTCTGCTGCAAAAGAGATGTCACCACAAAGAATTTTGGTGACAGATGAACAAGCCCGAAGTGCAGGATATGTCTCAAACTCAAATGGAACGCGTGAAAATCAGTATAATGTGTGCTTTTACTGCCAATCCTATCTCGGGGATACTGACGCTAACTTGACAACCAACAATAGTAACATAACCAGAAACAGTCAGCATCTCTCACCACAATTAAACCATAAATGTAATCGGCACGACTGTCAGAGTGGTAGTGATAATGATTACAATGTTAATGGTACCAGTGATTCGAACCAAGAAGTTATTTCGACAGATGTTACAAATGATGATACTACTTCGATGGGATGCCTGGTTAAAGATGAATTCCCTGAGGCTCACTCTAATTCATTCGAGTACAACCCCAGCCCGAAGAAAGTAATTCGTCTCCATGACTCTTCCACCGATCATCATCAGGAAATAGATAACGACAGAGATCGAGAAAATACTGTATCTCAGAAAGTCGGTTACTTTGATCGTGTTCTTAATCCACCTAACGAAGACGCCCGAACTACGACGAAGGAAGCCGAGTCAATTGATATGACAGAGGAGACACGGGCCAAAGTTGGCTTCTGGGAAAGATGGTGTGGCTGCCACTCGAATCCTAATCATTAAGCAGCTGTTTTATCAAAGCGTAACACTTTATCTCCGATTTTTCCGATATATAGGTTTTGTAATACAATATAAGCCTATGCGCTCATCCTAGTACACTCATTTTTACCTTGGCCTAAGTACTTATTAAATGTTATCGTCATGTCTAACGTTGCCGACTCATGACTAGTAATATGTATTTACAATAATAATAATTATAAATAAGATAAGATAAACTTTATTGTCATAATTCAAAGATATGAACATGAAATTATTGAAATTGATGCAATTTCAAAATTTAAAACATAAAAGCAACAACAATGGAAAACGTTAAATGTGTTAGAAAATACATAATAAAATACGTAAAATATAAAATAATGTACAAAGTAATGGCATACATATAAATATTTAACATAATTAATATATATAATAATTACAATGGAGAAGTTAAAAGTGGAAAGAGTTAAAAGTGAAAGACTGTCTACAAAGGGTTGGCGCCAGGATTTGCCCGACCGATGACCCCGACGAGGGGTCAGATTTTCCCGACGAAAGCAATGTGGGCGTGGTGTAGCTTAGATTTAAATGTTTTGAAAGTGGTTCAGGGGGCGAAGCCCCCGAACATTTTGACAATTTAGAGGTTTCAAAGGCTCATTTAATCGATTTTAGAGTACTAATTATTATGTAGAAAATACATATAATTTTTTCTCCCCGAAGGATTGTCCTTTTTCTCCCCGACGGGGGGGGGGAGGGGGAGGGGAAGGTACAGCTCTCCCCGACGGCCCCCCCCAACTGGCGCCACCCCTGTGTCTACATCGCTTGTCTTTCACCGTATGGTGGCTTTTATAGTCCTTCGGATTGTGCTGTGACATAAATTAGATGCTTATGAGGCCAACATCATTCACGATCTTTCCAAGCATATAGTTATATTTTTCAAGTACAAACTGTTAGGTCATTAAGTTTCCTATTATTTTTCTAGCATAGTTCATAACTTTCCTAAGCTTGTCTTTAACATTAACAACATAAACATTAATAACATATTATTATTATTATTATTATTATTATCATCATCATTAATTATTATTATAATCATAATCATCATCGCCCTCGTGATAATTTTCGTCATCGTTGTCATTGTCGTTTTTATTGTTATATTACACACCTGTGCCATAGTTGCTGCTGGTAAAAAAGAAGAAAAAATTGACCACGTGTCGATAAAGTTTTTAAAATATATAATTAAATAAATAAATAAAATTAAAGTGTTTACTTTAACTGTTAAGTGTAGCTTAAGATTTGAAGTGCACTGGGTGGCTACACTATCGCTGCAATGTTTCGCCATGGTATATACTGCGCACCGCGCTGGTCAACGACCGCCCCGACGCAGTCGGAAATATTAAGTACTCCCCGATTCGGCCGACTAATCAGCGTCATTTTATCGGTTGTATGAAAAAGCACGCAGCTTCGATTTCATTACGACAACTTAAAATGCCGAAATATTGGTAGAGATAGCTGGTTGGTTAAGTTTAGGTGCTCTTTAAAATTTTTATTACAAGAAAAAAACAAAACAAAAACTTACATTCTTGACTGTTTAAATAAAAATGTCAACTTTTTCCAATTTGAGAGGAGGGGGGGGGGGGTAGGGTTCCGTACGCACTCATTGCATCTCCCTGTGGATACGGGCCTAAATGGAGAAGTTTTATGATTTTTGGGTAATACAAACTTATAGATAGATCAGCATAGGCCTAATATGGGATGTTGGATTTTTTGAATGGTACTATTATGTTTAATGGATTATGTAAAAGTCAAGCTCAAAAATTAGAAATTGTGCAACATAGATTTTTGAAATTTGTTTGTAAATCGTGTAATGTCAATCGTAATACTATTAACTTACCCAGCTTATGTCAACGTAGGAGTTACTTGGACTGTATATTTCTTTTTAAATGCATGAAGGGATTATTTGGTCCTCATCTTCTTTCTTTATTTGGTTTTTCTGTTAAAAGTAAACGTTCTCGTCAAGCCTCGGTCAACTTATTCCATATTCCATTTTCCCGAACCAATATTTTTAAAAACGGATTTATTTGTAGATTATCTAGAATTTTTAACTCTCTTATTCTGTTAGATCCGACAATTGATATGTTTTTTAATAGTTTGAATATTTTTAAGTATAAAATTAAGAAATGTCTTGTATAAGTGTTCTTGATGTTTTCCGTACGGTGTTTATTGTGTTTTATGTATTCCATTCTGTAAGTGGCGGGCTCCCCGCTGTCGAATGTGAATTAAAATAAAAAAAATAAAAATAAAAATTCTCTATTCTAAAAATGTGTAATCATGAATTAGAGGCCTAGGCCTATCGAGAAAAATTATAAATAGCTCGCTTAATATTATCCAGTGTTCCATTTGTTTGCCTAATTAAAAAATTGGACCTTTCCGCAGTGTCTCAATAAAACAAAACAACTGACCAATTAGGACATCGCTAAGCTTACGCACTTGTCCCACAAACGCACGTGTTACGGTACGTTTAGCCCTTTGTGGGACCTAGCAACAATATCTAAGGGGGGAGATGTCCATGTTTCGTTATGTATCTCATTTGACTAGTTTGTTAAAATCAGTTCTACAACATATCAAAAAAATGTTTTCCTCCGGAGTCTGACTTTAAATTTTAATCAATTTGATTCTTTTAAGCTTGCCAGGCACACATAGGCTACGCGCTGATGATTCGCCCGTCACGGCGGTTGTCACGCAGTACGAAAAAAACAAAAAAAACCCAAAAAAACGAGGAGCGCGCAACCGATATTTTAATGAAAATCTTCTCATTTGCTTCGACAGTCAACAGACGGCTTTTAATGCATCGCTCACAGACTGAGAGAACGGAGACGCATTCGTCAGCCCGACGCGTCGGTCCTCCATGGTACGACGCAGTGTGTGCCTCTCATTGGTTAGGGCGCCCTCATGTTTTTCTAATTAAAACCGGACGATTTTTGCTTTGGCAACTTCCCATTTTTACTATCTTTAAATAGTTATTTGGCTTTGTACATTATTATGAACAAATTTTATTGTCACGTCTCAAATAGATAAAGAATAAATTTACTTTTATGGAACTAAGTTTTTAAGCTGCGTATAAATTCCATGGTTAGTAAACTAAGCAAATCGGATCCTTTCTAGTACTTTGCTTACGATTTTATCAAACGGCAGGTACTTAATTACACCAGCATGTTCTGAATTTTCTTCTATCAATAAATTTTATTCTTGCTTCTATCCTATATATGGCAATATTTATGAGTAGTTTTTCATTTTACATAGGCTGTTTTATTGAGTTAATAAATAATCCAATATTAGGTACGCTCTGCTATGACTTTCGGTATTAAATTTCGTGTTACGTTAAGGCCTAGACGTGGACATTACACCAAACTGAACTGTCTTCACCATCCCATCCAATGTTTACATTTCTACACCATTTCATGTTAACGTTTATTAAGCCAATATACAGCACGGAAGTGCTATATAAATGCTCCTCTTGTTAATATCTGGTAAATGTTGTGAAAATACTATATTTTATAGCGCCAAACCTCCATATTTTATAAATAAACCACATGAATCTTACGCTGTGCTTCTTGCTGGGAGAAAGTGTACAGCGTGCTCGAATTTCGTTCCAAAATAACACTAAATCAGATCCGTTTCAAGCACAAGTATTCTCGCCATTTTGCTACGAAGAATCTGAACGGTCTTGAAATTGGAAGCGACTTGACAGAGAAAACGTGCTGAAACTCCGTTTTAACAAAAAATTCACGACTGGTGTATCATCGCAATCGATTCTTGAATTATTCAAGATTTCGGTGGCGTAATATTATCAGGATCTATTCAAATTCCAGTTGGATCCAGGAATTATAATTGTAGTTGGTCTGCTCAACTAGCAGAAAAAAGGAGTACGAAGCAAGACAATTGATCTTGGAGCGTGCATGACCACAAAAGCCCGCCGCGATAAATTGAGGGTTTAGCAGGCCAATCAAACAGCCCGTGAAGGCCTACTTTGTGCGGTATCTACTTACAGTCCGTCTTTGTTATTCTTCTTTGTTGGAGATAGTTATATCGGGTTTATTCATATGAATTTTCAAAAAGGTGATTATAGTGTATTGTATGTTGTTTTTATTTTTGTGTAATGATTTTTATTTGCCTTAATTTAAGCTAGGCAGCCTAAAAATGGGCTAGGCCTAGGCATACTGGCACTGTACGGGTACGCCCTCTCTAGGTTGGTCAGATTAGTAGTAAACTAAACCTATTCTGATCTCAGAGGCCTAGGGCCTAGTTAGACTCTAGCTAAATAAAAATAAGCCTATATTGTAACAAAGTGACAGTAGACACATAGCCAATGAATGAGCGTAATATCACATCAAAAGATGTGAATGCGAAGGTTGGAAAAAAGTGTTGATTGGCCATTTAGTTACCTGTACAGTAGTCGTAGTAAGGGAAAATAGAAAAATGTATTAGATTATATCACTCCCGTCTGCGTAAAAAAATTTTTTTTGTTGTTGCATCGATTATTTTAACTGCATCAAAACAACTTTGCAAAAAACAAATGCTCACAAATTATATATGAATTGGCTCCGAATTCTATAGACTATAAACTCTTAGATTAGACATTGGGATCGCCGTAAAGTTGAAAATGCAAAACCCATTCTTTAAACTTGTTTACTGTTGCTAAAAATAAACAGCTCGCTTACTGCAGTTAAAAATAGACAACACTGCAGTCCGCCTCTAAGAGACTCACCCAGTACCTGTAGGCTGATCGGATCGATAATTCAAAGCATGAGCACTCGCATGTTCCACAGAAACTCTCGGTGCTAAAAATAACTTGTTATAGTGCATTACAAGGGGACGGTCTTCCTTTTGTGATGGGTGTGTTTGGTTGGATTGGTTGTTGTTAGGCAAAAACTAACCTAAGACATCAAGAAAGTTTAGGCAAAGACTGGCTTAGCTTGAGGTAAAGATCAAAGTCTAGACGCCTATGCCTACTATATTGGCCTACTGTAACTATGATTAGGGTGTTCCCTTCGCTTTGATGCTCGAGTATGTCTGATTTTGTTCACCGGAATATACTGTAGGCCTAGGGCCTAGTTTTGGATAGGCCAAGCCTACAGTTAGGCCTAAGCCATTGGACACATCTGCCACTTCGAAAAACGATGTCATGTTCGTCCTGTTCATGCACACGGGAATCCCCGGGTATAATCCCGCCCCCACCCCCTCCAAAAAAAAACAAAACAAAACAAAAAAAACCTCCCGTCCTCATCATCTAAAAAAAAAGATGAGTGATAATCTAATAATTTTTTTCTGTGTGCCCTAAAGTCCTATAGTATTTGAAATAATTCATTCATCTGTTGACCAATTTTGCGCATTGATTACTGTACAGTATAGTATGCTTCATTGCTGTTATTTTTGTTTACAATAATGAAGTTTTTCGTTTTTGTTATAAAATTTTACAGTATATGAAAGGTCAAAGTTCAACACCAGAGAAAGTTATTTTTCCCCCCTTTTTGTTATTCCGGCACAGGGTGAAGGTAGTTATAAATGTATAGACAGCACTGTTGACTGGCTTCCTCTATTTTAAAAGTATTCTGCATTTAACCAAATATTGCAAAACAAACTATTTTTGGGCCTCATTAAGCAGCCTGCTTGATTACTAAATTGAATAGAAAAAAAATCTGTGTTTGAATTCCTTTTAAAGATAATGAGCATTGCCTTCCTTAAATAGGATTTAAGCCAATCTAAATGTCAGGCAATACGTGAGGATTTTAGCATATAAAATGGACACAAATGTGTGTCTTATATTTTTTAAATTTTTTTTTCAAACTTTATTCAATCAATAAGATACATTTGTTCATTTCATAATTACAAATTTCAAAAATAGTACAGGTACGTTATATTAATAATTATGAATTATAAAGTGATGAAATTATATACCTGTACAACCTTTTTTGCGAGCACTACTGTACTGTAGCTAGCGAGCATTGTAAAAGAGCACTGTTAGAAAAAGAAAAACATTTTATAAGAAAGAAAAACATGTTTCACGAAATACAGTACTGTATATATTCTTCAGTTGAAATGGCAAAAGATACAAACTTTCACGACCAATGGCATGGATATGAATTCATTTTTTGGGGGCTAAATTAGGTTTTTTTTTTGGTGGAAAAAAACCCAAAATACACCCAAAATACACTACAACTTTTTACAAATGAATTTAACATTAATTGTACAAAAATTCTGCCATGTACAAAATACATGATGAAACTGTATGGTTTGCATTTTTGCTGTGTATTTTTCGAGTGTGCATTTTTATGAGGTTTTTTTTTGCTCCTAACATCATCCCCAAAAATTTATTATTTAACATAAATCTGGTTTTAAATAATACTTATAATTTATCCAGTTTTGGATCTACATAGTACTGTATACCAATACATACCATTGTGATGTTTTGAGGTTTTTTTTTTATGGGAGGATTTCAGGCTTTAACAATATCCAACAGTATTATATTAATTTATTCTGTTTAGTTGATTCAAAATTATCTATATATGTTAATACACTGTTATGTAGCCTACCTTTGATGATTTATATTACAGTATATTAATTCAACAGTGTTAACAGCCAACTTCCCTCAATATCATATATATATATATTTACTACATGTGTTTATATATAT